CATCGCACAAATATTATGGAAACTAAACTTGAAATTATGAATATCATCATCATATTGCACGTTCTTCATCGAACGAAATCTTTAAGGAAACTAAATTTCCAATATATAAAAATACTTTTGTTATAGATTGGGAGGTTTCTTTCGGATTAAATTCACTGTATCAATCTATTCATGCATTGTACTCAATAAATCAACTATCATCTTTTTTCAGTTCCCATTCAGCTCTCGTTAACACACATAACGTCACTTGAGCGCAGAGTAATTCCTATCACTAACCCTAAAGTAGGAAACTTTGTGATGTAATTCCATGTTAATACAATTTAAAACCTAATTCAACTCGATTTAATTTACATATAATTATTATTTTCTTATATTAAAGAAATTGTGTTATTAAATGAAGAGCAACGTGGGGGCCTGGTGCACAAGGAGACAACAATTTAAATCTGGGAACAAATGCGACTCTAAGGAGTAGTTTTTTTTAAGACAAACTGCACTGTTTGAGTAATTTGATTGGACTTGTGACTATTTTAAATTAAAGTTGATCTCATAAAGTTGAACTCCTTTACTAAACAAAAACTTTATTTATTCCTTCTATTCCTTAATTGTATTAGCACATACAGCTAATAAAGCAGAATTCATTATTAATTAATCAATAGAAGTAATAATTTAATCATAGGTACATAGAGCATAACATAAATAATAAATGCTTTTATTTGTCTGTGGCCCACGTGTATGGAAATGGGCTTCCAGCAAATACTCACATGCATCAGACGTGGGCTTTATGGCCCACAATTTTAGCATTTCTCCGGACTAATTCGTCCGTCCAACAATAGTTGCCCTATATTGACTTAGAATATCCTTTAACAAATACTTAATAAATAATAGGGGTAATATTATTATATTATCTTTTAAATTTATTTAATTTAATGTTTTGAAAAATGTGTTAAGATGATAAATAATATTTAACACCAAGGGTAAAATAGACACGAAAGGTAAATTGACTCTTTATTTTCTAAATTGAACAACTATTTTTAGTATAGTAGATGACTATTGTTGAATGGAGGGAGTACTATATATACTCCCTCCGTCCCTTTTTAGTTGTTATAGTTTTTTTTTTTTAGAGTCAAACAACATGAATTTTTACTAATATTTTAAGATGTACTTTTTCATTACATTAATATGAAAAATGTTAGTAATTTATAGTACTTTTTGTATAGTTTTTGAATATTTAAAACATCGAATTAATGTGATCTAATTTAGGTTTGAAAATTAGTCAATTTGACTTTGGAAAAATGTAACATGTCAATTAAAATGGGACGGAGGGAGTATGTCTTTTGTTTATTAAAAAGTACTTGACAGTTTGTATAATTAATTAAGAATAGAAAAATGAGATGAAAATTCTTGCTTAACTACCCTACCTACCTCCCTATTATTTTTTAATTTGTAATACTTTATGTGGTAAAGTTACTATATATGGAGCATGGACCATATCTCTTTCTAGTTTCTGGTCAATCTTTTTCTCAACTTAGCTTTCCAATTTTCTCCATTTAACATGAAATGTAATGTTCTAGTCCAAGACAGTACAACAACATATTGAGATACAAATTGAAATATTTTATCAAGTAGGTATTTGAATATGTAATTTTAACTCTTTCAAATCATGATTTTTTATATTTTAAATATAAAAATTGACTCACAAGTTTATATTTTGTAAATAAATAAATAAATTATATTTATTTATTTTTTTGCGAGAATATCAAAAGAGTGATGAAATATAATGTTACTTTTGTATTGAACTAGATTAATAAATGTTGTATTTTTATTAGAATAACTTTGTGATAGTTATTATACTTTTGCTTTTTAGGTAAGATAGTATAAAGAACTGGAACAATTTTGATAATTTTCACAACTTATGAATTTTTATGTTTATGAGGAAAAATATATCTTAAAAATTTAATTGCATACCCAAGCAAAATATTAAACTTCATCTTAAATAATTTCATATCACGAGACCAAACGGATATGTTCAATTAAATCATCACTTAGTTTGATCATTCGTGATGACTGATTCACAGTTACATTTTTCCTTTGTTTGACTAGACCTCTTGTCATGTGAAAATATTCTACTGTTCTCATAATATTTTTTGGAAAAAAAAAAAGAAGCAATTATGTCAAAGTGGTTGATATTTAATTAGATGAAGAGTATTTAATGGCGAAACTGAAGGAGGAATCCTAAGCTTTTAATTCATACATACTCCCCTGTCTCATTTTAATTGTTGTTTCAACTTAAATAAAATTTATTAAAAATGTAATTGTTATATAGAAATTTAAGAATAAAATTGACAATTATTTTTAATAACATTAAAAAAATACGTACAATATTTAAAAGAAAAAACAAATTTTAAATAGAAGTAACTTAGTAAACGTTAAAAAAGAAGAAGATAAAACTACAGAGGAAGTATATGCTAAAACAGCTTATTACATTTATTGTGACTTAAAATAAATGTTCATCTAATTTTTTGTTTAAAATTAATACTCCCTTTGTCCCTAATTACTTGTCCACTCTTCCTTTTATAGTTGTCTCTAATTATTTGTCCACTATTCCTTTTATAGTTTTCTCTAATTACTTGTCTATTTTGACAATCAAGAAAGGACAAAAAAAATTTCCTATCATACCCTCAATTAATTACTTTGAAAAAGGACTTTTTGAAAATATTAAAATTTTAATTCATCTACTTCATAATTAATAGGGATAAAATGATAAACTTACTATGTCAATAATTGTTTTCTTAATATGTGTGCCAATTTAAAAGTTGATAAGTAATTAGGGACAGAGGGAGTATATGTTAGGGTTTTACCCTGATTTTTTTACCTTATTTGAAGTTTATTTTTTTCTAAAAAAAAAGACAAGACAAGACATTACCATAAATATTTTTACTTTTCATGAAAGGAAATATATTTTCCTTCCATATTTGGTTTATTCTTTCCTTAGAAGAAAAGTTTGGAAATCTATAAATTGAATACCCTCTTCTCATATAAAAAAAAACAAGAGAATCCACAATGTAATCATTTAAGAGTCTTGTTTATGGGAAGATTTTCTCCTAAACATATTTATATATTTTTTAATATTAGTTTTCAATATGTAGGGCGTTTGACCAAACCATATTAATAATATATCTTTAGTATGCTTTAATTTCTCATCTAATTTATTAGCATATGATTTGCAATTGTAAACTTTCGCATGACACTCTAATCACCTTCATAACCTAACGGTATATATTACTATTAAATCATGTACTAGCTGATCTGACCATTTGCGTTGCGGCAACGTTGTTTCTTTGCTAATTTTACAACTGCTCCATTATTTCGATTCGTCAAGCAAGCAATCACGCAACAAATAATCTTAAGATATCACGTACAGAAGTGGAGTCAATTTAAAAAAAATAAATTATAATTCAATAAATAATTACTTGTTTTTAATTATTAAGTTCATAATTAATTATTAGAGTATAATTTTGCTCCTGATCATCATGTAAGCAGTATAAAAAGTAGAATTTTGAAATGAGTTGCTGCATGGTGAGTTACTTGAAAATTAACACATGCACATAATGATAAGTGAAAAGACAAATAGAAAGATGAAGAAAGGGAACTTATTTACACACTCACTAGTCATTAAGTTGGGAATTATTATGTGTAGAGAGAACATAAAAGTTAAAGAGCAAAAGGGGAAAGTCATTATAAATGAATGAAGTGAAGTTGAAGAAAATAAAATATATGCCTCCTTGTTTATTCTCTCTGGCCTTACTAATTTTACAGTTGTTTTTGACGTGTGGCCCTACCTTACTCTATTCCCCCCACCCTAGGTTATCGCTTTCATTTTAATTTACGTGATATTATTATTATTATTATTAAAAAAATAATAATATATTTTTATATTTAATAATAATTTAATTTTAATTCTAACTTGTACTATATAAAGATTTATTAAATTAAGCAGATAATTTTAATGGAAATTAGATAGATCATAACTCCTTAAAAATAATTTTGAAGTTGATAAATTATATTCAAATAAAAACAATAGCTGAATTCTGACAGCCTCACTAAAATTTAGTACTCAGCAATTGACGCACTTATTCATTCTATCTGAAAATCCACAAAATTATTAAATTCTTAATATTTTTTAAAAGTTTTTTTTTACTCGTCGCGGTGAAATTTTCCGTATGTCGGTCATCGGTCAGATGAAAGAAGTCAACGACTTATTTACTCTGACTAGCGGCGAAACCAGAATTTTGATCAAGGGTGTCAAACAAAATTGAATAGAAGTCAAAGGGTGTCAACATGTAATATATCTATACATAAATAAATAAATAAATATTTATATCTGGTTACACAATGTAATTTTTCAACGAAGGGATATCTCAAGTGTATTTGGCTTCACCTCTAACGAGTTAGACGGTTGAGCCAGCGGGCAAAACCTTCTGGATCAGCTACAAGCGGACTAAATTATTCTGAAATTATAATTTTATGCTAAATTATTTCTCAAATTTATGATTATATATATAAATTTAGTCCTTAACTTTTTTTTTTAATCTTATTCCGTATATGAGGATATTTTAAGAGAGATTTTTTGGCGGCAAGGGAAGGCAACTATTGGGTGTAGTGGACCCCAAATACAAACTATGCAGCTCTCGCAACTTGTGCTTTCCTTTTCCCAAAACAAGTCCTTTTTTTTTGTTTCTAATCTCCATTTGTGACCCTCTCAATTATCTCAAGAAAAGAGGTTAAACCTCTAATTTATTATAATTAGTAAGCTTGTGGACATGGGATATTAAATTATAATTTAAAAAAGAAGAAGGAACAATTAAGATTTATGTAGTTGACTCAAACTAGTGATACTTCTAATTATTGTATCTCTTTAAGACAAGATTCTTGGTCATTTAAATGTGGGGTAACATGGACTATGTTTATTTAATATTTGATTAGTCACTAACTCAACAGTGGTAGTTTAGTCTGTGTAAAAATGATATCTATTTCTCTGAAAAATCTCTGGGGTAATTTGTCTCTCTGCCCATATTTTCCCTTTTTGGTTGATTTTGCAGTCTCACAGAGTAATTGTTATTAGTAGTAATAAGTTTCACTAAAAGACCTTGTTTTCAGCCATTACAGGACAACTAAACCCCCACCCCCAAACCCCACAAAATGTTCTGTTCTTGGTTCTCTGCTATTCCCATCTCCCTTTCTTTCTCTTGAGATTCAACTCTTTGCAAATTTTTTTCATGTTTTTCTTTAAGTTTCCATGACCCGTTTCACTAAATCTATCAAAGATTCAATCTTTAATACAATGGATCATATACAATCAACATTTCTTGCAATAATTTGTCTGTCAGCAATTTTCAAGATTATCCCTCTTTGTTCATCATACTCTACTCCATCAAACTGTACGGACACTGGTCGCTTGTGCACTTCCTTCTTGGCTTTTAAACCCAGCTCAGAACAGACCCTCCCAGTGATTCAAAGCATGTTTGATGTGTTACCTAATGACATAACTGTTGAAGGAAATGGTAAAGGTTATGTCTTTATCAGAAAGAACTGTTCTTGTGCTTATGGAATGAGAAAGTACTTGACAAACACTACATATACTGTCAGAAAGAACAATGGATCTGTGTATAATATGGTTGTTGATGCCTATGATGGGTTGGCTTATTTTCCAACTAATTTTACAAGGGAGGGGAAGAAAGGGGCAGTGGTTTCACTGAAGCTCATATGTGGATGCTCAAGTGGGCTGTGGAATTACCTCATGAGTTATGTGATGACAGATGATGATACTGTTGGGTCTTTGTCCAGTAGGTTTGGGGTTAGTATGGATAATATTGAGAATGTTAATGGAATTGCCAATCCTGATAATTTCACAGCAGGATCTTTATACTATGTGCCATTAAATTCAGGTATGAGTTTCCTTTCCCCTCTTATGATTTCTGATTTGTGTTTTTTCCATTTCCAAATGTGTATCAGTATTTTGATTTAGGATGATTTAGGAGCTGTTTGATTAATCAAATTGTGTTAGTTGTAGTAAGTGTGATTAAATGTTGGAATTTTTAGCTGCTGAGGAAGATTAGTCAGTTTTTTCTTTCTCTTTTTGTTTGTGTGAGTGAGGGGATGAACCTTTGTTCTAGAGGGGCACACAATCCTCTCTCATTTGTCTATGGCGGGTTAAGATACCAACTAATCCCTTGGTTTCAATTTCTTTGTCTAGTTTTGACTTGACACGAGTTTAATAAAGCAAGTAAGACTTTTGAATCTTGGGGTCACAAACTAAAGATATGTATAATGTACCAAAATGTCTTTTAATGTTGTGGTCTTAAAGATCATGTGGAAAGTGGGAATTGAAGAGTTGCCAGAAAGAGAAAGAGACATTTTTTTTAAACGAACTATAAAGGAAAATAAGGCAAAAAAATTGAAACAGAGGGAGTATGTGATTACTGTGGTTGGGAGAGGATCATGACTACCTAATGCTTTGTATCCAATAGTGAACATGAGAACAATGTTCGAAAACATCTAAAAATCTCTACACTTTTTGCACTAAATAGTGAAAAGTTGATTGAAGTGGATGTAATGGGAATTAGCTTGGCACCCTTGGGGGATGGCCAAAATCAAGTGCCTTCGATCAGTTAGAGAGTTGGATTGCATGTATGAAGGGAAATTCGTATTTTGATGGATAACAGGTCCTGTAGAATACATCATATAATGTATTAGTTTCAACATCAGACTATATAGCACAATAATTATATCACACAACCTGTAAATTTTAAAGAGGACCTGGTGTGAAGATGAGCATATGGGTACTCTTATTGTGCTGTTTTATCTGAACAAGAGATCTCATGAATTCAACTAAATTATTGTATTAGCCAATCCTCAAAATTAAGTTTGCTAGGCTCAATAGTTAGCAACTTTGCCATGCTCAATAATTATCTTCATTTACTCATAGTCAATAGCTTTTCTAATAAGCCTCTTTTGGTTAAAAGTACTTTACTTTAACGACTTTATGTCCGTCCAGCTCCTGGCGAGCCTTATCCTGTAGAAAATCACACTGTTCCTGCTGCTGCTCCATCACCTTCTGTTGCTGATATTTCAGGTATTCTCAATTCTTAATAGCTTACATGCATTCTTACTTTCCTGTTGGTGAGATATGTGTTTTTCTTTATTAATATCACCCTAGGAAGACCAATAAATTTAACTTCTACTCATGGCTTGTCAAGTTTTTGTGTCCTCCTTTCTGTTAGTAGTTCCTTGCGAGGGCAGTGTCTCCATAAATTTCTCTCAGTGGAACGAGAGAACTTCCTTGACAACCAAATCCAAGAGTTTGATTATCATTCTGCAAGTTATTCTCTATTATTGCAATGAAAAATACAGACCTCTATCTGAATATATGGTTTCGTCTTAGCAGTCAACTGAATTTAGCTCTATTCTATCACCAACTTTTGGCTGCGTTAAAAATCTATTAGTCATTCAGTTTTTTGCATTCCCCTATGTTATATGGACAGTGCCAAGCAGAAGGTTAGATGGGATTGTATTGCATCCTTTTATTTTTGGTGTAAAAAGAAAGGTTTAGAGGATACAGAACAGATTGTAGAATTATTAGGACCCTTGTAAGTATTTTTTTTTTCTCTTCTTTTGTTCGCCTCTGTTTGCAGGTCACCAGCATCTCCTTAATGATGAAGAATACACCATTACCATTTTCAAAAAAAATAAAATATTTCTTTTATGAGAAAATCTGTCAGAAGAAAATGAACAATGTAAGGAGGACAAAGTTTCCCCTTAATTAGGTGTAACCTCAACTGTTTCTCTGATTTCCTCTTAATTGATAGGTTTTTATTCTTTCATGGCACTGAGGAGTTTATCTAACAAATCCACAATAAATTCATATATCCCAGACAGTCATATCCTCAATTCATCTATGCAGTAACCTTGTAATTCATTTAATAGTTCTCCTTTCAATGTTGTTGCTACTGCTCCTTTCCCCGTGAGTTTCATACCTGATTTGATATGCTTTACTTTAGCCAATGGCCTATCAGGAACAACCTCTCTACCTTCACAAGGTATAGGGGTAAGGGTGTGTGCACACTACCCTCCCCAGACCCTACTTGTGGATTATATTGGGTATGTTGTTGTTGTTGTTGTCCTCCCAATGTTGGTTTGCTAAGTTTTTTCATCCTATGGTTGTTCTCTTAATTAAAGAAAGATAATCCTCAGAAGTATTTCAGGACTCCATTTCTTAATGGAATTTTTCCCTGCAGTAAATGTGTTTTAGATAGCTACCTTTCGGTTGAGGAGTAAAAAACCTCCAATTTTCGACTATATCTGCAGGAGTTGAGGAGAATCATAAGAGTCATGCTATTTACTGGTGGATAATTGGGGGTTTGGGTGCTGGTCTTCTCCTGATTGTCGTCATTCTTGCTTTTGTTACCTGGAGGTCGTCAAGTTGTTTTTCCAGAACTGAGAGAAGTCACACAGCAGGTTCAAATGAAAAGATTTCTCATAAGTTCCAGATACTTCGAAATACAAGTTTCTGTTGTGCATCAGGAAGGTACATTTGCGGTAGCTCAGGGGACCAGCAAGAACCGAAAGGAGAATCTACTGACCAACAGATTAATATTCCAAAAGGTCAGAACATAGACATGCATGCTTTTTATTGATATTACTGAAGGTCCTTCCTGTTAATTTCCTCCAAACTATTATGCATGAGATCAAGTCATTTGCTTATATGTATTAAAATATGCGTGTGATCTAAAATCCATCAAAGCAAATCATATGCCACACCTGTTATAGACTTATTGAACTCCTGCTAGAGAGGGGATGGGAAGTTAGGAAAAGCAAAAGGAGTTTGGTTCTATAATCATTATGTAAAAATATCCTTGAATGGAGTTTCAGATGGCTACATAAAACTAAAACTAAAACTAGGTTATTCTATAATACTTCTGAAAATGACAGGCATGGTACTGATCAAGTTATCATAGTCAAATAGAAGCAAATCAGCCAAGATGTCAAATAAGCTCTCAAAATTAAATAATACTTCTTTTACCCATCTTAAGGTATACATGTCATAAGCAAACTGTTATGCGAAGGTTACACATCAGGAACATCCCACTAAATTTCAAGTTGTGCCCTTGAACTTGAGTTTCACGAGAATGGATGTCTAAACAGTAAACATGATGTAGTTATAGCCGTCCTATGTTGCTTAGACTCTCCAAAATGTTGCCGCACCCGTGTTGAATCCTCAAAAAACAAACTACTTTTGAAGGATGTGACACGCACCTGTCGACATTAATGAAGAGTCCGAACAAGATAATTAGCCGGGATTAGTTGAAATTGCCAAGCCTATGCTGGCCTTAGTCCTTTACTCGCTTCTAATGGCGTGCCACAATGTTAAAAGGAGTATTTGAAAATGTTCATAGAACTTTTTCTCCTGTGCTCATAATGGGGGAAAATGTAGTTTCACTATCATGCAGGATTTCTCAATATAATAATTGACTATTCTTTTTTTTTTTTTTAAAAAAAAACAAAACAAAAACTGACTATTTTGGGCTTCCTTGCAGTTATAGGTACTGATGTCTTTGACATGGAAAAACCTCTTGTTTTCGCCTATGAAGACATTCTATCTTCTACCGATGGATTTTCTGACTCCAATCTTCTTGGTCATGGAACCTATGGTTCTGTCTATTACGCCATCCTCCGCAACCAGGTTACTTCTCTCAACTTTACCTATATTGATAGATTTCCTGTTAACATGGCGTATTAACTTGCTTATGTCTTTGGAACGTTAACCTTTCAGGAAGTTGCAATCAAAAGAATGACTGCTACTAAAACAAAAGAATTTACTGCTGAGATGAAAGTTCTATGTAAAGTTCATCATTTGAATTTGGTAATGAATACTGAATTTCGCTGCAGTATCCTGAGTTTTTATTTTTGGAGCTTGAGGATAGTGCTACATCAATTCAAAGTTTTGACTCCTGTCTTGGTATTATTTTGTCAAGGTAGAATTGATCGGCTATGCAGTCAGTAATGATGAATTATTCCTCGTTTATGAATATGCCCAGAAGGGTTCTCTTAAGAGCCACTTGAATGATCCTCAGAACAAAGGTACACATCTTGAAGATAATCATTAAGCTCAGAATTTTTGTGTAGTGTATATATACATTTTTTCCAGTTGTTGATATGGAAATGACCTGTCACTGCTGTATTTTGGTGAAAAAACTAGATGATCTGACCTCTTATTTTGGGTAGGCCACACACCACTCTCTTGGATCATGAGGGTCCAAATTGCACTTGATGCTGCTAGAGGCTTGGAATACATTCACGAGCACACCAAGCCGCATTATGTGCATCGAGATATAAAGACAAGTAACATCCTGCTTGATGATTCTTTTAGAGCAAAGGTTGTAGCTATTTTGGTGCTGAATTTTTCTCCTTTGTGGCTGCCATTTTTCAAACCCAAATTCTCATTGCCTATGTTTGCAACAGATTTCAGATTTTGGTTTGTCAAAACTTATGGGGATAACTAATGATGCAGAAGCCTCTGCAACACGAGTTGTTGGAACCTATGGCTATGTAGCTCCAGAGTAAGCAACTTAACCAACAATAAGCAAGAACACAAACTGAAACATCTCTCTGATTTTGTTTGTTTCCCTTGTTCTTGCAGGTACTTGAGGGATGGCCTGGCAACTAAAAAGACTGATGTGTATGCATTTGGTGTTGTTCTATTTGAGATGCTGACAGGGAAAGAGGCCGTCACCCGGACTGAAGGCAATGTGATGAAAACTGCAGAAAGACGCTCCTTAGTGTCCATTGTAAGTCTTATTGCTCACAAACTGTTCAAAATTGAAGGCATGCTTCCTAATGGATTCTATTTGCCTGTGTTGCCACTTCTATCTGTTATGTGATTAAAAAAGATGAAAACATCGATTTTATCATACAATTGAGTAAGATCAAATTCATGAAAGCTCTGAAAAATGTTTTTGCATTCATCAGACTTGGTCAATGTATGACTAGATTCCATTGCCTATCTGGCATCTTTATCAAATTGTGAAGTTTACTGTTCTCAGGTTTAGGATTAGTTCATCAACTTCCTAAATGCTTTACTTCAAAAAAAAATTGAAATTCCCTTGCCTATTGTTATGTACCTACAGTGTTGTGCTGTGGCTATGTATAGGTATACTTATGCATAACATATATATATATATATATATATATATTTACACTTATATGCACACTATGAATCAATTCTTAGCAGTGCTTAATGCTACATAATTGCAGATGCTGGCAGCTCTGAGGAACTCACCAGACTCCACTAGTATGACAAGCTTGAAGGACCAGCTGGATCCCAGTTTGATGGATTTGTACCCTTCTGACTGCGTTTTCAAGGTAAGTTGCAGCTTAACAATTATGTTTGCCAACTTTGAATCAGTTCAAGTTGTGCCTCATCTATAATAACGTGCATAGAATTGGTAGGGCCACTGACTACCTCAGCTGGTTTAGTTAAAATAATAGACAGAAGAGATAGTTTAAGATTGGAAGTTCATATATAGTTATTATCAGCTGAGTGACATAGGTGGCTGATTTTCTAATGAAATTTCACGACTTATTTCATTCTGTCCACCATCATTGATGTGTTTACTTTGGTAGGTGGCTATGCTGGCTAAGCAATGTGCAGATGATGATCCAATATTGAGACCGGACATGAAGCATGTGGTGATCACACTTTCACAGATAATGTTATCCTCTGTGGAGTGGGAAGCAACTCTTGCTGGGAACAGTCAAGTGTTCAGTGGCATTGTGCAGGGAAGATAGGTCCATATGCTAGGTGTTGCCTTGCATCCTCATATATAATGTACATAGTACTCTTGTATTTTTGAAGCCAATCTTCTCCATTTTACCAGTCCAGTCACTTTTTTCCTACATTCTTTATAATGTTATCTTTTTTATGCACCGAGTAATCTCCATATAGCGAATTTTTTCCTCTTTTTTTCTTTTTTCTTTTTTGGGATACTGAGAGTTCAAGCTGCAGTTTTGCATTTAATATATTGTAATAGTTTTCAATTATTACCCAAAATGTTTAAGTTCCTTCCATTATATTGTCTGCAGATTGTATATTTAACAATGGTGTGTTCTTTAACAATGTTTAAGATCTAATGTAAAAGTTAGAGGATTGGTTCATGAAACTTGTTTTCCCTATTATTTCCTAATCTTTAAGAAAATTGTGTTACCATGGAAATTTATTTATAAAACATTGTGACCAACCCAACATGGGAAGATTGGAAAACATTTTCTGGAAATTGTTCTCCTCCATACCAAACACACCCAGATCTTTGCCAGTAGGGCCTTGGGATGTACTTTGTAGACTAATAGTGATTAGTTGGTGGTGTTCTCCATGCATACAAGATAACAATACTATAAAAACTACCATCATGATTACCATAAAATGATAATATCAAAGGAGAGAGAACTAAGTTCTTGAAGTCTGCCTTAGAGAGGACCAAATAGAAGGCAGACTACTACAAACTTCAAACAGGAAAATTCATCCCTATATTCTTTATCATTGCTTTTACTTGCAGAGTGAAGCTAACACACGACGAGGTGGGTTGAAAGATTTCCTGGAGTGAAGAACAGCCAAATTATCAATCAGCAAGACATCGCCTTTCTTCCATGGAATCGCAACACTTTCATCCTCAAGGATGCTTAAACAATCATGTACAACTTCAGCAGGCAAAGGCTGACCATCTCCAAAAGTGACTGCTTTCACAGGATCGTTTCTAGCATCTTTCCATCCAGTATAAGCAGCTACCATGCTATTGAACCATATTTTCTGCTGCCTTTCTTGGTTGAATTTGATGCCTGGTATAGGTCCCATTACGGTTTTAACTCCATCTTCTAGCCATTCCAGCTTCATCCCTAACTTGGCAGCCCTGTTAAATGTCATGCAAGTCAATTAGTACTTATACAATTATCAGGCATTTGGTTTCATAACAACATTAGCTACCCATTAACCTTCATCCTAGTGAAGAAAATGTATTACAAACAACTGGGGCAATTATACTCCCGCGTCTACGTAAAGGGTGGGAAAACAAAATGAAAACCATTAAGGTAGATTTTTGTAGGGGGGGGGGGGGGGGTAAAATGGGAGAA